GCAAAATCTATGTAAACATAAAATTTGGCGTTTTAAAAAGTACACAGTTATGTGGCATTTAGCAACCATTACCACCGTCCATCTCCAGAACTTTTTTATCTTCCTCACGTAAAGCTCTACTCATTAAACAATGACTCTTCATTCTCCCCTCCCCTCAGTCCTTGGCAGCCACCATTCTGTTTTCTGTCTCTGTGAATTTGACTACACTAGATACCTTAAATAAGTGGAATCAAACAATATTTGCCCTTTTGCAGTGGGCTTATTATTTCACTTAGCAAAATATCATCAAGGTTCAACTGTGTTGTAACATGGGACAGAATTTCGTTTTTTTTTAAGGTTGAATTATTGGCCATGTTTTAAAAAACATTTTAAAATTTAGGTGATTTGGGGTATTGTCTTATTATTATGTATACTTTTTTATTCTTTAGAAAGATTTTTTCCCAAAGGAATTGGTTGATTTAGCAAAGACGATATAAGGGAAAACTTACTGTTCTGATTCAGACAATGCACTGTAATTTATTTCCAATTCAGTGTGACTGCAACAAGAGAAAACATGGCTTACACTGTGGAATGCCTGCGAGGTGATGTGTAAGTACCTGCATGTTTAGGACATCTGCTTTTAAATATATATTGAACTTGTCTTTGTAATGTGTCATTATGACCTCTGACTTTTGTTTTGGCTTGTTATTCACAAATTTGGCACTCATAAACACTAAACCTAAAATTTAATATTGAGTTTTGTATTTATGTCGAATCTTGAATGTTAGTTTTAAATTTTTGACCTGTCACCCTTACCTTAATGTCTTCTATAGGGATATCCTAATGGAGTTCCTGCTCAATGTCACCACAGCACCAGAATTTCGTCGTTGGGAAGTAGCTGACCTGCAGTCTCAACTAAGGATTGACAAAGCTGTGGCCTTTCATAATCCACAGGCTCGTAAGTACATTTTAAGGAAAAACTCAGTTGTTTCTAAAATACTGACTTTTTAAAGAAGATTGATTTGTAGAAGAAAAAATTACTGTTGAAGTTTTTTACTACTTGGGTTTAAAAATATCTTTTCCCAAAATTTGTTCAATTATTTAAATATTTGTTCTTTTGTTTCTAAATGTTTATATGTGTGTTGATTATTTCTCATGTCTGATGGTAAGTAAATTGTGAAATCCTAGATGTTTTGCCTGTTTCCCTCCCAGTGTTTTTTAACAGTTGCTTGCTTACACCAAATCCAGCCTGCTGCTGCTATCGTTTATTGTTTTGTATTGCTGTTATTATTTTGCCGACTCTCATTTATTGGGCCTTTCCAAAGCAAGCAACTTAACTTTTTAAAAATAAGAATTTAGGCTAGGCGTGGTGGCTCAGCCTGCAATCCCAGCACTTTGGGAGGCCGAGGCCAGAGGATTCCCGAGCCCAGGGGTTCAAGACCAGTCAGGGCAACGTGGTGAGACCTCATCTCTACAATACATCACAAAAAAAATTAGCTGGGCGTGGTGGCATGCATCTGTAGTTCTAGCTACTTGGACGGCTGAGGCAGAAGGATCATTTAAGCCCAGGAGGTTGAGGCTGTGGTGACCATGAGCGTGCTGCTGTACTCCAGCCTGGGCAACAGAGTGAGACACCAACAATAAATACATACATACTCTTTGTGTCCATATTGTTATTGACAGAGTGAGACTCCAACAATAAATAAATGAATGGATTAATGAATAAATAAATAACAACTTTTTGTGTCCATATTGTTAGTTTATATAATGTTTGTTTATAACATTTGATTTTATAATGTCAACAAGTACAATGGCAAAACGAGCCTGTAAACAAACACTGCTGACTCTAGGAGTCATAAAGCTTCTGGTAGCAGAATAAACGTGCAGGAAATCCAGAAACAGGTAGCCATCAGCAGGAGCTTGACATGGGATGGGCTTCCTTGGAATGCAGTTCTGTCAAGTGTCGGGAAAACAATGAGTGCTTGATTCACATTGCTAATGTTACTTCATGGTGATAATCTGTGTCAGAGTATGATCTTTGTTGCTGAGGACTTCTACCAAAGAACTAGAATGGTAAAAATGTAGAAAAATTGACTTATGTGTCCAGAGTGGCTTTTTACCCACTGACAGAATTGAGGCTCCAGCCTCATCCTTTCTTCCTGAACAGTTTCTTTTTTCTCACAGATATGACTCACTACAACCTCAGCCTTCTGGGCTCAGGTGATCCTTCTGCCTCAGCCTCATGAGTAGCTGGGACTACACTACCATGCCCAGCTTTTGTGTGTGTGTGTGGAGACAAGGTCTCACTATGCTGCGTAGGCTTATCATGAACTCCTGGCTCCTGGGTTAAGTCAGTCCTTCTGCCTCAGCCTCCTGAAGTGCTGGGATTACAGACATAAGCCACCGTTCTTGGCCCTGATTGGTTTCTGTATTGCCTCTAGGCTAGTGTCTGCCTCCAGGTTTACTTCTTCAGTCAGTCTCCCACATTGCCATTACAGTGATCCTTCTGATGTAAAAATCCCTTAAAGAGTTTTTTTTTTTTTGAGTTGGAGTCTCACTCTGTAGCCCAGACTGGAGTGCAGTGGCCGTTCCTGGCTACTGAAGCCTCAACCTGCTGGGTTCCGGCGATCCTTCCGCCTCAGCCTTCTGAGTAGCCAGAATTACAGTCGCGCGCTACCACGCCCGACTAATTTTTTTATTTTATTGTAGAGATGAGGTCTCGCCTGCCCAGGTGGTCTCGAACCTGCGGGCTCAGGCAATCCACTCACCTCAGCCTCCCAAAGGTGCGGGATTACAGGCTGAGCCACCGAGCCCGGCTTAAAGGGTCTTTCTTATCCATGGGATAAAGTCAAACTCTTTAGCTTAGCATATATGACCTTTCATGATCTGACCCCAATGCACTCCTCTTGTTTCTTGCTCTGCCTTCTTCCTCTCCCAGCTGCAAATTCCCCTTGAATCAAACTTTTGCTATACTTTATGCCTTTGCTTTTTCTGTTTCCTATGCCTAAAATGCTGTTCCCAAATCATTCCCCTGGGAAAACAACCTGCTCACTCTATATGACTTATCCAGATATTACTCCTGTTATTTTCTAGTTCCCATTGTCCTTCCCCTGCTCCCCTACTGTACTTTTAACATACTGCTTACTTTGTACCCATAATACTTTATTTCACAGTTCTTCTTAGCATTTTGAGGGCAGACATTGTATGTTACTTATCTCTGTCCTTTTTTTTTTTTTTTTTTGAGTTGGAGTCTCACTCTGTCACCCATACTGGAGTGCAGTGGCCGCTCCCGGCCACCGCAGCCTTGACCTGCTGGGCTCCGGCGATCCTTCCGCCTCAGCCTTCCAAGTAGCTGGAACTTCAGGCACACGTTACCACGCCTGGCTGATTTTTTGATTTATTGTAGAGATGAGGTCTCGCCAAGTTGCCCAGGCGGGTCTTGAACCCACTGACTCAGGCAATCCACTCACCTCAGCCTCCCATAGCGCGGGATTACAGGCTGAGCCACCGAGCCCAGCTATCTCTGTACTTCAAGTACCTTGCACAGTGCCTGGCATAGGGAAGTTGCCCAGATAATAACCAAATGATGGAAACATATCTCACAAAGACACTTAAGGCAAGAGAGTGGGCAAAGTACCAGTGAGGAGTAAGTCCAGTTCGATGGTAGCATTTGACCTCTGAAAGCTAATAGTGTGACCTAAGACCAACACTTTCATATCTATCTCCTCTTACCATGACAGCCTCCTCATTGACTAGAGAAGGTACCTAGAAGTAAGTGAAATTCAGATTGAATGACATGTACAAGGTCGCATGGCAAGTTGATGGCAGAATCATAACTAGATTTGGACTTGCTGAAACCTAGGCCATTATATTAAATAGTGCCAAGAAGATTAAAGTTAGAGTAGCGATTTAGGTGGACTCTGGCACATAGAAGCTACTGCCATATAACTTATTTTTCTCAGCACATTCAACTGTTAGAATTTTTAAAGTTTCTAGAGGTTAAATAGTAATAAATTTCAAGTGTTCTTAATACTTGAATGCCAGAAGATGACAAAATTTGTATAGATTTATTGCTTTATAGATGTTGAAATATTCTTGTTGTCTTAAATTACATTTCAGTAACTGCTTCTTTACAGGTGTCATTGAAAATTTGCATTCTGCAGCTTACCGGAATGCATTGGCTAATTCCTTGTATTGTCCTGACTATCGGATTGGAAAAGTGACATCAGAGGAGGTACAGATAAACATATTACATTTTAAAATGTGCTTGTTTTCACATTAAGTTGAGCATTTATCTACCATTTCAGGTTTGTTTGCTAAGTTTTCTTTTTCTAACCTTAAGAAACTTAGCTTACTTTTTTTTTCCATCAACTTTTTAACTAAAATTTTATCTGAATAATTTTTGTATAGCTTTTAACTAAAAAAATTTTTATGGCAATAGGAACATGATGATCTTGGAAAATCAGGAAAGAAAGACAAGCAAAATGAAGGACACATACCTAAAGACACTCATTGTTAATACCTGGTATATTTTCCTCCAGACCCTTTTCTGTGTATATGTACCTTTTGTAAACAGTACTTAAATGTATAAATATCATAATGAGGTCAGGCTTACGCCAGTAATCCCAACACTTTGGGATGCCAAAGCAGGAGGATTACTTGAGCCCAGGAGTGTGAAACCAGCCTCGGCAGCATAGGAAGACCTCCTTTCTAAAGAAAAAAAAATTAGCCAGGCATGGTGTTGCAGGCCTGAAGTCCCAGCTACTGGAGAGGCTGAGGCGGAAGGATCGTCTAACCCAGGAGTTTCAGGCCTCAGTGAGCGGTGATCATGCCACTGTACTCCAGCCTATGCAACAGAGTGAAACCCCAACTCAAAAATTAAATAAATAATCTTAACGAATCCTTTAACTAAAATTCTTTGGTCCCTCTGAATACATAAATAGACTGAGCCCACATCTTGACCTTCCATCCTATCAACCCCTGGCCAGCTCATTCACCTTCTCCTGCACTCCAGCCTCCCTTTGTTGTGTATATCTTAGAACTTTGTTTCCAAAACATAAAATATTCTGTGTTAATTTCATGTTCCTATCATCCATCCTCCAAAACAAATTTTATCAAAAGATATTTTTAAAAATTTGGAATTATCAACACTTCCCAAGTATATCTGACTCAGAAATTAAGACCTAGCCGGGCTCAGTGGCTCAGCCTGTAATCCCATGCCTTTGGGAGGCTGAGGTGAGTGGATTGCCTGAGCCCGCGGGTTCGAGACCCGCCTGTGCAACTTGGCGAGACTTCATCTCTACAATAAATCAAAAAAAATTAGCCAGGCATGGTAGCGCACGCCTGTAGTTCCAGCTATTTGGAAGACTGAGGCGGAAGGATCGCCGGAGCCCAGCAGGTCAAGGCTGCGGTGGCCGGGAGCGGCCACTGCACTCCAGTCTGGGCAACAAAGTGAGACTCCAACTCAAAAAAAAAAAAAAAAAAGAAACCAAGACTTTTATTCAATGACTTTATGGGATGAAAAGCTTTGCAGAGATTGGTTTTAAAAGTAGGCAAGGGGTGTGTAGTGTCATACTCTTACCCTGTTAAAGAATGTTATCAGGCCGGGCTCAGTGGCTCAGCCTGTATTCCCAGCACTTTGGGAGGCCGAGGTGAGTGGATTGCCTGAGCCCGCGGGTAGGCAACTTGGCAAAACCTCATCTCTACAATAAATCAAAAATTAGCCGGGTGTGGTAGCGCACGCCTGTAGTTCCAGCTACTTGGAAGGCTGAGGCGGAAGGATCGCCAGAGCCCAGCAGGTCGAGGCTGCGGTGGCCAGGAGCGGCCATTGCACTCCAGTCTGGGTGACAGAGTGAGACTCCAACTCAAAAAAAACAAAAAAAAAGAATGTTATCAGTGTTTTTTACTACCTGTAAAAGAAACAAAAGAAACCTAATGGACTACGTAAGCCACATTATAATAAAAATCATAAACCTAGTCCCATTTGTTTCAAGTTCAAACCAGTATGGCTCTAGTTTCTTTTCATTCCTTTTTTTATAACAGTTTTACTGAGATGTAATTCACATACTATGAAATCTACCTATTTAAAGTGCACACATAATTCAGTGGTTTTTACTATAGTCATAGAATTGTACAACCATGACCACAATTAAGTTCTAGTTCTTTTAAGTAATAATTTTTATAATAAAATTCCGGGGTAATAGTTAATCCCATAAAGTTCATTATTGCAGTTTTTAATCCTAAGTGTGTTTTTTGCCAAAGTGCACTTTTATGTTTTTGCAACTTTTTCTATTTATACCAACATAAACTAATAAGTGTTTTTAACTTCCTCAGTTACACTACTTTGTTCAGAACCATTTTACAAGTGCAAGAATGGCATTGATTGGACTTGGTAAGTTGAATATTTCTTGCATGTCAGTTTGCTTCTTAAGCACAGTCCCTTAAGCTGTAATTATGTGAACATAGAATTGAACATAATTTGAAAACTCAGACAGGCAATATATGATAGGATTTTAATTGCTAGTCATTTGTTTTGGAAAGCAGAATCCAACATTTAATTTTGTAAACCACTTGCTTTAAATTCTTTACAGTATTTGCAAAACCTGTGACAAGGTTTCTCTAAGCAAAGAGCTTTTTTTTTTTGAGATGGAGTCTCACTCTGTTGCCCAGACTTGAGTGCACTGGCCGCTCCCAGCCACCGCAGCCTCAACGTGCTGGGCTCCAGCGATCCTTCCGCCTCAGCCTTCCAAGTAGCTGGAACTATAGGTGCACGCTACCACACCCGGCTAATTTTTTTTGATTTATTGTAGAGATGAGGTCTCACCAAGTTGCCCAGGCGGGTCTTGAACCCGCAGGCTCAGGCAATCCACTCACCTCAGCCTCCCAAAGGCGCGGGATTACAGGCTGAGCCACCAAGCCCGGCTTGCAAAGAGCTTTTACAAACTATCTTATAAAAAGAAGTACAGCTAAAGTAAAACAGGCAAAGGACATGAACAGAAAGTTCTGGGACAAATATGTATATATGTGTGTAGCTAATTAATCTTTTTGGTTTTGTTTTTTTTTTTTCAATTGGGGTCTCACTCCATTGCCCAGGCTGTAGTGCAATGGCACATTCATGGCCTCCCCAACATCAATCTACTGGGCTTCAGTGATCCTTCTGCCTCAGCATTCCAGGTAGCTGGAACTACAGGCATGCGCTCCCACACCTGGCGAATTTTTGATTTTTTTATTGTAGAGACAAGGTCTCACCAGGTTGCCCAGGCTGGTCTCAAACCCACGAGCTCAGGCAATCCACTTGCCTTGGCCTCCCAAAGTGCTGGGATTATAGGCTGAGCCACCAAGTCCAACCGCCTATTAATCTTTTATTAAAAAATTATTTTAGTTTGTATACCTAACCCTGAATTATACCCCACATCTTTATAATTTAAAAAAAAAAATTAATAGCCAGACTCGGTGACTCAGCCTGTAATCCCACGCTTGGGAGGCTGAGGTGAGTGGATTGCCTGAGCCCGCAGGTTTGAAACCCACCTGGGCAACTTGGCGAGACCTCATCTCTACAATAAATCAAAAAAAAATTAACTGGGCATGGTAGAGCACGCCTGTAGTTCCAGCTACTTGGAAAGCTGAGGCAGAAGGAACACCAGAGCCCAAGAGGTTGAGGCTGCGGTGGCCGGGAGCGTGCCACTGCACTCCAGTCTGGGCAATAGAGTGAGACGCCAACTCAAAAAAAAAATTATTAGATGGTCAGCCTCACTAATAACTAGGAAAAAGGTTTTATTTCTGTAAAAGTGGCAAAAATTAAAAGGCTGACACCGCCCAGAATTAACCAGTGATTGTATGGAGAAATAATCACTTTCAAAAATTGTTGGGTGTGAGTGTTAATATTTTTGGAGGTCTATTTGTATACATCTATTAAAATTCTAAATGCTTGTATTCTTAGACCTAGCAATTTTACTTTTAAGAATTTGTTGTAGCCAGGCACAGTGGCTCAAGTCTGTCATCCCAGCACTTTGGGAGGCAGAGACAAGAGGATTGTCTGAGTTCAGGGGTTCAAGACCAGCCTAAACAACATGGTAAGACCTCATCTCTACAATAAATCAAAAAATTAGCTAGACATGGTGGCACATGCCTGTGGTTCCAGCTACCTGGAAAGCTGAGGCAGAAAGATCACCTGAGCCCAGTAGGTCAAGGCTGCAGTGGCAATGAGTGTGCCACTGCACTTCAGCATGGGCAACAGAATGAGATTCCAACTCAAAAAAAAAAAGAATTTGTCCTATGGAAACATGTAATTAAGTCTACAAAATAATTGCTTAAGAATATTGTTTACAATACTGTTTTTGTTTTGTAAATAACAGCTTAAATAACATACCATAAAATCTATCTTGAATGTACAGTTCTGTGGTTTTTGACATATTCAGAGAGCTGTGCAACTATTACCACTTTGTAATTTCAGAATGCTTTCATCTTCTCCAAAGAAATCCTATACTTATTACCAGTTCCTCCTCATTCAGACCTTCCCCCTACCTCTGGCATCTACTAATCTATTTTCTGTCTCCATAAATTTGACAATTCTGGACATTGTGACCTCTTGTAACTGACTTCTTTTACTTAGCATGACCTTTTCAAGGTTATGTATCAATGTTTCATTCCCTTTTGTAGGTAAAAAAGTCTATTGCATTTTTTTTGTCCATTCACTGACATTTGGGTTATTTTCACCTTTTGGCTATTGTGGATGTAAACGTTCATGTGTAAGCTTTTCTTAGAACATCTGTTTCCTATTTGTGTGTGTGTGTGTGTTGGAGTCTCTCTCTGTTGCCCAGGCTGGAGTGCAGAGGCACGCTCGTGGCCACTGCAACCTCGACCTACTGGGCTCAGGTGATCCTTCTGCCTCAGCCTTTCATGTAACTGGAACTACAGACACATGCCACCACACTCAGCTAATTTTTTGATTTACTGTAGAGATGAGGTCTCGCCAAGTTGCCTGGGCTGGTCTCGAACCCGAGGACTCAGGCAGTCCTCTCACCTTGGCCTCCCAAAATGCTGAGATTATAGGCATGAGCCACTGCTGTAATCTGTCTTTTGATCATGGGCTTTCCTAGTGAGTATAATGTGGTCATTGTGGTTTTTGATTTGTATTTCCCTAATGACAATGACATGGAACATGTGAACATGTTTTCTTGTTTTGTTTTGAGTCAGGGTCTCACTGTCACCCAGGGGGGAATGTGGTGGCACAATCGCAGCTCGCTGTAGCCTCGACCTGCTGAACTTAGGTGATCCTTCTGCCTCAGCCTCCCATGTAACATGCCACCATACCCTGCTAAATTTTTTATTTTTGTAGAGACAAGGTCTCACTCTGTTGCCCAGGCTAGTCCCAAATTCCCAGGTGCAAGCAATTTTCCTGCTTCAGCCTTCCATAGTACTAGGATTACAGGCATGAGTCACCATGCCAGGCCATGAACGTGTTTTCATGAGCTTTTTGGCCATTTGTACAACTTCTTTGGAGAAATGCTTGTTCAAGTCCTTTGCCTATTTTTTATTGGTGATTTGTAAGAGCTCTTTACATACATTGCCTGAGCCCGTGGGTTCGAGACCCGCCTGGGCAGCTTGGCCAGACCTCGTCTCTACAATAAATCAAAAAATTAGCCGGGCGTGGAAGCGCGCGCCTGTAGTTGCAGCTACTTGGAAGGCTGAGGTGAAAGGATCGCCGGAGCCCAGCAAGTCGAGGCTGCAGTGGCTGGGAGCGGCCACTGCACTCCAATCTGGGCGACAGAGTGAGACTTCAACTCAAAAAAAAAAAAAAAAGAAAGGAAGGAAGTAAGGATAATAATAACTGCACAAAAAAATTCTAGTTGAATAGTAATAGTGAATTGTATATAGTAAATAGTTTGGCAATAATAAACTGTAAATGGATATCTCTGGGAGAGTGACATGAAGGGAAGACTCTTGTTTTCTTTTTTTTGAGTTGGAGTCTCACTCGGTCGCCCAGACTGGAG